ACAAAGAAGGAAGGAGGAGAAAGGAAAAAAGAGAAAAGAGAAAGGGAAAAAAAAAAGGACAAGAAACAACGAAAATCAGAAGCTCGCAATGCTCTGGAATGTTAAGGAGAGACTCAGAGGTCAAGTGAAGTTCAAGTGGAAGCAAGAGACGAGTGACGACCTTGTCAAGAACAAGGGCAATGGCGTTATAAGAGTAGATGTAGAAGCTTTTGAAGCAGCCATCCGGGGGGACGGGCTGGAGTTCCAAAACGAGCGAGGTGCGTCGACATGGCGGCGCGGGACAAAGGTGGCTTGCATCAAGTGCGTCCTGGCCTTTTTTTTGCGGAGATGGGCTGCCGAGGATTGGAGGGGTCCGTTAGGCCCCCCGTTCTGTCTGTCTGTCTGTCTGTCTGTCCGGATTCTCTCGACTTGCATGTGCATGAGGAAAGATGATGACCAGAGGGGCGAGTGAGAGAACATGATAGATGAAAACGCCAGTCATGGGAACGAAATTCTGATGTGTCGCTTCTCGGGGTGCGTGGCTTTTTTCTCGCTTGCTTTTCTCTCTTCACCAACTGCGAGAAGTGACTTGAGATGGTGAATGATGGTGTGGAGGGTGTTGTTGGTTGTACAAGGAAGGATCTCAATGTCACTTCTTTTTCCCTATGTTGTGTAACGAAAGACGGCGATGGCCTCATGTGTCTTGCTGGAATAAGACGTCTCTGTCTGGGCCGGTTCCGATTCCCCAAGGTGACATAAGATAAAGAGGGACAAGAGTCGATGATTCGAGTCTCGAGCTCAGTCCATCATCTCAAGTCTCCAACCCAAAGAACTGACGGAAAGTGGCTGCATCTGTGTTGTTGCATTTTGTGCTTGTGTCAGCGTTCTTCATGTGTGAGGCACAATGTGCTGCTGGTAGCTTTCTAATATGCGGTGCCGCTCGCTGCAGCTCTGTAGGGGATAATCGTGTAAGCGCGTCGCTTTGGCTCACATGCCTGTGTTTCACTGAATTTTGCAGCGAGAATCGAGCCAAGGTGCCAACTCGTCAAGTGTGTCATGTGTTATGCCGCATACTCGCAATCACCTCCGATGCCTGCTGAGAGCGGATCGAGGACGATAGTTGGCGACAACAACACCAGTTGCAAGCTATTCAATTCCTTGGGCGGCAAGCACTCTTGTCAAGGATATATAAATGACACTTGCTGCCTTGACTGCTATGTACGGCCATAGCCGAATGAAAAATCTGGATCCCGTCAAGTTCTTTACCACAGTCCTTCGGACCCCTACTCATGAAGCGCGTGCTTCAATTTTTAGACTAAGATGCCTCCATTTTTGGACGTGTAACAACTGAGCAGCCCTACCTCCATTAACCACGAAATGGGAGTGAGTGAACGTTCACTATGTGGGTGTATCCTCAACCCCGGCCAGTTTGACATGCCCTCTCTTCTTAGCAACTGCATTCTTCCACTTCGTCACAGAATTGTGAACATAATCGTTAGATAGAGTGAATAACCTTTCCCAGCACTTAAGCAACTGCTTATTTATCTAAACCTCTACTAAGCCTCTAGAAGCTACCTAGTGCTATATTTACACTACTAGGCGACGAATATAAAAGCTACAGTTAAGTTAAAAAAGTCACGCTAAAAGTAGATTTTACACTAAAAC